GGTTCCATCCCAAAACTAATTGGTGAAAGGAGGAGTAGCCCATTAAACTTATTAAGTGAGTCTATTTTCCATGTATTAACAATGTGGGACAACTCACAAGTGATATTCTAACAAAGTCCTTAATCCCCACTCACCCGTTAATTGAAGATGTTTAACAATAGATCGCCTAGTCCATATAATCATAGTTAAGTTCAACTTCCATTATGATCAAGTAATCTGTCGTTAAGTTCATTATCTTGAGCCCTCATGTCAATATAATTTCATCTCATTGATCTCAATCGAAATTGGTTGCCCTTTTAATTAACTCCATGAAAAATAGAAAACGAGTAAACGCAAGGGAGATGCTACGTTTGATTGGAAATTGGTTGCCCGACCGAATGGTTCCGTAACGGGACTGTAGCATCTCAAAAAAACGTAAAGCCCACGGCACTGTTTGCCACCAAATAGGTTCACCTCCATTGGTCACTGTCGTTTTCTATCCAAAAAAAAACTATAAATACAGAAACAGAAAAAGGTAAAATAAACCACTCAACGACAAAAAATCAACAAAATTTCACAACACTCTTTTTATTCCCATAATCAAAAATCATCTCTGTTTGCAGCTCAATTTTCAACAAAACGCCATGAAAAATAAAGCGAAATCGATCGAAACTCACACACAATTCCCAGATTTCAGCTCCCAAATCCACTGCACAAAACACCCGAACCCATCTCAGGTCGGCGTGTGCGCTCCCTGCCTGAGGGGCGAATTGGTAAAATTAGCCTCCTCCGACGCCGGCCTCTCCTCGTACCGGCACTCGACCGGCTCCTTCGACCTCGACGTCGCCGGAAAATTCTCGTTCTTCGCGGAAAACGAGGAAACAATCAGAGCCCAGTCGAAAAAATCCGATCTTTTCAGGATCAGGAGCAGCAGCGGCGGCTGTGCGGTTGGGCCGAAGGGGCCGCTGGAAAAATTCTGGAGAGTTAATAAGCGCCTTTTGGGGAAAGGGATTATTAAACTGAATGGGTCGCCGGAGAATTTTGGATTTTCGGGGGGCCAAAGTGGAATTAATTATCGGGTTTCCGGTAAAATGGGTGCGACACCGAGGTCCACGTCGTCATCATTCTCTGTGGCCAAGATTTCTGACGTCACCAATGATGGGTTTTTGGAGTTCGATTTTTCGTCTGAATATGATAAGCAGGATTTTTCTGAGTCGAAGAATGGGTGTAAAAGGCACAAGGTTTGGAGGAGGATTTTTAAGCGACTAAGTGTAGGGAAAAGTTTGTAGCAAGCTCGTGGGCTCGGCTCGGCTCGGCCCGGCTCGGCTCGGCCCGGCTCGGCCCGTCTCGTAGGGCTCGGTTTAGTTCGTTAAGACTCAAAAAGAGAATTCTCATATCTATAATTCGACTAGTAGAAATTCGAGATTGGCTCATTAAAAGACTCAAACTCAACTCGTTAATATTAATAATCGAACCGTGCTCGATCTCGATTTATGACTCAGTTTATTTCAAAAGTAACAATGAACTGTCTTACAATTATCAGACGACTGTATTAGCTAGATTTCTTGGACTTGGTCTAAGGAGTGTGTAAAACAGTGGCGATCTTATGTAATGCTAGATTTTCTATATATGTTTATATTGCTAGTGAGACATATTTGTAATCTATTTGATATAAAATTATACTTTGAAAAGATGCATAATTGAGTTACATAGTCATGTCATATGGACATTATAAATACCATAATGTTTAATAAAACTTGTTGGAATTCATGTCGAGCTTGTGATTTCTTGTATTTCATGTTATTACTAGTACAACGCCCGTGTATTACACGGGTGCTTGCTTAATTTTTCTTTAAAATTTAAAATTAATGAGAAAAAGTAGTTGAAAATTTAAATATCTTTTATTAAAATATATATTATTATATATTTAGTATGACACTTTTTATTTGTGTGACTTACTTGTGTTATATTATATTAATTTTTTTAACTTACAACATATAACTACATTAAACACAAAAATATATCAATTGAGAAATAGTTTTATTTTTCTAATAAATTTTAGTAAATATTATTAATTTGTATTATTATAAAGATAAATATAATTTATTTATTTTATATATACAATATGGATGTCAAATCGAAGATCATGAAAAGATGATTAATTTGATATATTATATAAGTAAAACCGATAAGAAATACAAAAGTTATCAACCTTTAAAATACATTTATTATAATTCAATAGTAATTGAAGGAAACAAATAAAAAGTCAGGGATATATTAGTCACTTAGTACCTCACTATATAAAATTACAAAGAATTAAAAGGTTATATTAGTACAAGTGATATTAAAATACCTAAGTTAATTAAATAATATTTATGGAATGTCCGAACCTAGAATATTAATTATTAATATATCAATATTATTTGTCCAAACCTAATTACGAAGCATGATTTTTCGCCAAGTAGGATTCCGAAGCACCAGAAGCAGCCACATAAGCTCAGCGCATTCGGGAATTATATATAGGGGGGATTTTTCCTATTCTATTTCAGTTTTTTCTGTTTTAGATCACGCGGACTTCACTTATAAAGTCACTTTTGTTTTTGGCTCTTTTATGCTTGATACGACGTCGTCTCTCTTTAGAATAAGAGATGCTTCACTAACGACGTCGTTTAGGTTTTAGTGCATGAGTTTAGGGCTATAAATACGTGTTAACGTGCACTTTGTGAGCTAAAATTTTCTGTTATGAAATAATATGAAAATGGAGGTTTTCTCCCCAAATTTCTCTCGTGTTTCAACAAAACTCTTTTTTTTTTATTATTTTATAATCCATCAATCTCATTTTATAAACGGACCTATCGACAAAAATTCGGTTAACTGCAATCAAGATCTTATATTAAGAACAAGAGAGACGGTGAAACTTCTGCATTGCAATAATAATTGAATTATTATTATTGGAAAATGTTACGATACCGTTGCTCATTTACCTTGATTGATGTGATTAAACAAAATAATCCAGCTACTTTACATGTCAGCGAATTATTACACGTTTATTTCACTGGATGACGTTTTGCGAAAATAATCAATTATTTACTAAACGAGTTCATAAAGATGTTGATTTACAAATTTACCCCAGTGGATTTTATTAACCAAAATCACTTTCCTCTGCCTTTTGTTCGTATTCACAGAATCCCTAAAAATTGAGGAGGGCACGACGAGCTTGGCAACAACTCCCATTGGAGAATTCGACATTCCGATGATGACCGGCTAGTGAAGTGGACGAATTTCTGGAAAAACTAGGGCAAATGACCTATTTATTTTTCTACCAAAAAATCGAATTTCTGATTCGAGGAATCCGAGTATTTGACAATGACAATATTAGTCATGGGAAAATTTTCGACTTTGCATTGCTCTTGAACGTCTGTGTAAAAAACCTAAGACTTATGCCTTCTTCCCCCGCTTGTGCTCGTATCTTTAAAAACTAGGGCAAATGCCCCATTTAAAAAAAAAATTCTCAGTACAATTCGAGGAATACGATTACTGATAACAAAAAGTGACAATTAGCATAGTTGTGTGGATACGAATAATTGTTCTTGGCGAAGATAGAGCTTACCTATCGAATGTGACACCTTAAATTGTTTCTTCCTCCTTTCTGCTCGTCCCTGCGTAGAACTGGGGCAAAATGTCATTTTCAACTTTTTATATGGGACAATATTGTAATATTGTGGACAACCAAGGTTATTTTGGTACTTTGGAAGCGAAAAGTGAGGACAAAATGGGTACATAATTGCTGGGATCAAATTATCTTGGGGGTGAGGCGGGATAGAGTTATCGGCAACGGAGGGATGAACATGTGGGCCCTCATGCCACATGGGCGCCAGGTAGGTAAAAAATAGTCCAATTCTCTGAAAGTAAACAGCGGATATCTCATGACTAAATGCATATCTTTATCTTGTCCCCCAAAGTAAACGACCCTTACAGTACCATCATGTCAGGTGTTTTAACTGTATTATTATTAACAATGATAATGTTATAGACCATGTTTGTAGAATTGGACAGTAAAGCATAGGAAGAAAGAGAACAATTATGTTTAAGGGAGTTTGACTTAGTACACAGACGTTTGTCTAAAAGAAATATTCCCTCAAAGAAGAACCCTAATGAACCCACCGACTGTTGCCGTCAAGTTGCCGGACGATCCTCGGCACGACCCGCCTGATTTGCGCAACGGAGAGTTTCCTCTGCCTCGCGATGTGTACTCTCAGCACTCCATGTTTCCCGCGGTGTCCAAAAAGTGCTGCTCAGTAGGCAGTTTTGAGCGCCCCTCGGAAGAACCACTTCAGACGAATACCAATGGACCAATCCAGACGGGCACCCTGATTCCCACGCGCCCCGCTTCACCGAAATTGAGTTTCCGGGACCTATTAAACAAGAACCGCCCACATGTGTACGTGTCACCCCCCGGGGAGGGTGATGCGGCTATGGGCGGAAGCATCAAAGTGGTGCTGAATGGACGTTCGGGGACGATCTCTTTTTCTGACCCGTTTTGGGAATCGCTCCTACAGGACTGGAAATATGCCGTGGTCGTTCGACTATTAGGTCATTATGTCTCCTCCCTGGTAATGCACAATTGTCTTTCAACTCTATGGCCCTCGATTCGAAATAGCCCCATGATGGACTTGGAGAATGGCTACTACGTGGTTCGCTTCGACACTCACGAGGATTAAATGAGGGCTCTCACGGACGGACCGTGGGTGATCGCAAATCACTACCTCCACGTGCAGCCGTGGATAGTGGACTTCGATGCGACCGACATTAAAACTCAATCAGTTGTCGCTTGGATTTGCCTTCCGGGCCTCCCGATGCAGTACTATAATCACTAGGTCTTTAAGTCGATAGGACAGATAGTGGGCAAGGTGGTTGTTTAGTATACTTTTGGGCATGTGGTAACCGAGTTACCCGACTCGGGTCGTTCTCAAAGAAAGGCTCTTCGAAGCTTCGTTCACTATCTAGTCGTCAAAGTCACATAACCGAAAACAAGGTCCTACACATTCTACTCGCTTGATGGGGATTGATTTCACATGAAATTAAACTAACAATCTAGAGCAAATGAAAGCAAATTATGCAAGATGGAAACTTTAGGTCATCCAGATTCTCTATCACTCGAATAGACGCGACAAACCAAACAACATCATAGTAGCCATGTGATCCAAGGTGATTAAATCGAGCTTTCTAACTAGTGACTACGCTTAAAACCAAGTCGT